GATGAATCATGGACTGCTTGAGTAGTTCTTATAGACTGGCTCCGATTACTTGAACGCAGATAGGTGAGAACATGCTGCGCAACCTGCATCTCCAACCTCATATTAGTTCATCCTATGTACACTGCATCACATCAGCATTTAAACTTGTAAACAACTAAATTTTTCTGAAAATAGGACAACCGATCCGTACTAAAGGAAGGAAACACAGATCTTGTTTGAAAAACTGTGCTCAACTTTATATATATATATATATATATAATCAATGAAACCCAAACAATATTATTGTTTATATTTGCCACAGTGTTCCAATTTTCAGATTAATGCATTATTTAGTCTGCTACAATTTTGTATTATTCTTTGTATCCAGTTTGTCAGATAGAGTTGAGGATTATGCCTTGATGCAAGGACACATATTTTCTGAGTCTTTGCCGAGTTGATCAAAAGCCTCTTTAAATGATCATGAAAGAATTGCATAAAATCCAAGGTAGCATATTTTTCGAGGCTCTTAATAATTTTTGCTTTTAGATAAAATCAATGTAGGGAAATACAGATGGCCATTTCATCCATGAGAAAAACCATTTCCTTGGACTTGTCAATGCAAATACGTATGTTAAAATGAATGAATTCCTATGTTTTTTCAAGAGAAATTTGAAACATAAAGGAAGGAAAGAAGGAAAATGGAAAAAAGAAAAGAGGGAGTAAGGAATAAACAACCTCTTTTCTTCTTTCCAATTCCTTTTTACAATAAGTATATAATAGTATTAATTTTTAAATTCTTATTTCCACTTTACAATCCTTTAAACTACTCTGTGGAATTTGTTTATACTCATTCTTTTATGTTCCTTCTTCCTCTTCATACCTGTGTTGATATGTTAAATTTAGGTCAGAGTCCATCTCCAACTGTCATTCTTATCTGAACCAATTCCACCATAACCACCTTAGTCTCTTTACCTCTCTATATCTCTATAACTCCCTTATCTATTAGATGTTATTTATTCCTTACCCCCTCCTCTTTTTTTCTTTCCAGTATGGGGTAATTTCTTTGGGTTTCATTAACTGTAATTCATTTATATTGCTCTATAATAAAAATTATATTGAGCTCTCTTTTGTGGATCAGTTTTGATATTTTATATTGATAGGATCGACTTGGATTACTTACCCACAGATTCTTTTACCTGTATATATATATATATATATATATATATATATACACACACACACACATGTGCACATACCGGAACACCTGTTTTATAGAATTTGATATAAATTACCATAAGAAAAGACAAAGTTTCTGCTTTGCTAATCTGCAAAATATAATCTTACATTGAAAATCACTACCATAAATCTTGGCTTTAACTGTGTTTAAAAGTTGCCAGATGATGTCAGTGAAGAATAAGCAACTATCACAGACAACATAGCAAGTGTGTGCATGTGAGTGAGTCTGTGCATATAAACACATAAGATATATAATACAATAGTTGTAGCTCAGTTCCATCTGACATAAAATGTGGGTCTTTCAAAATATAATTATTTCAAAAAATATTTTCTTTTAAAAGGAAATCTAAAATCATTTCCAAAATCTTTTCAAAACGGATATTCAATATTGTGATTAAACAAGTTCCAACTTCACTTTTCTGTTCAACAATTTTCCTTCTGTTTTTTTTTTCCTGCACCTCACATTTCAAGAGCAGGCAGCAACCTGCATTTACTTAGACATATATCATTTAATTGATTACAAATATGAAGTATCACATCCTCAAAATGTCTTAGTGGAAATGCAAACAAAAGAATATTTTATGAAAAACAAAAGAATATATTTAATGATGATGATGATGATAATTATCATCTTCTTAAGATGACAATTATTATCCAACACACACTGAATTGTCTGCTTTTATAAAAATTTATTTGGGGATGTAAGTCTCTCTCTTTATATATATGTGTGTGTGTGTGTGTGTGTGTTTAAATATTATTATTAGTATAATTATTTTTTAAATAAAACTGTATCAATAAATCCAGCCTGTCACAGTTATTAGCTGAATCTCAATCTGAAACTTTCTTTGTATAATGTTCAGTCTATGGACAATTGTTAAATTAACTGCATTGACATGGAGAGATATAATGTTCAAACATGAATCACTGTTGTGTAAAATCATTGGCTTAAGTATACTCTGTCTATATCTCTGAGATGAGGTATTATGATTACTTGCATTATTTACATTATTTGGACTGTTATCCTCATCTTTATTGCTATATTCACAACCTTCTTCAGGTTATTAGAATTTAGAACCAAACCCTTTATTTCATCCACCGGGGGGGGGATTGTTCTAGTTCCACGTGCCATGCCTCTTCCAGATGACTAAGTTATTTCCCTTAAACGCAACTCTCCAAGTTTTGATTCACCACTGCTGTGGCCTGGTATTGAACTCACAACTCTTTGGGTCTAGTCACTGGATCTAACCAACGTCTTTATCCAGAGAGGACACAGTGACTAAATCCAAAGAGTTGTTTGTTATAAACAGTTAAAAATTATAAAAAAGCATTTTTCAAAAAAAAACAAAAAAACAAACAAATTGGCTACATTTTAATTGCAAATGTGTGTGTGTAATTAACCACATGAATTTTTCAGAAATTTAGTAAAAAGGGAAATATTAATGAATTTTTAAATTTATGCACAACCAGGACTTCAAATTGAATATGGCAGAAATAATGTAATCCCAGTGCAACAAGGACGCACAGAGACAACATAATTTTTATAGAAGAGAAATTTATAAACTGTTTTCAATGTTTGGTTGTAATTTCATCAGCTGTCCCTGTGACATTAACTACCTTGAACATGTGCCGAATATATATGAACATAGGTATAAGATAAGTAGAAAATTACATAAAGAGCAGCACAAAGACTTTTTCTTTCATTCAGTTCTTCATCTCTGAAAATTTATTGAGTAGCACTATTTTGTAACAGAGATGAAAAGAGGGAAATACAGTACATATGAGAGAAGATCATTTTTTTACTGATGAAATCCTAGAAAGAAACTTAGAATTCTGTGAAAATTAAAACATGGCATGGTTTCCCTATTTCTTGCATCACTGCACACAGAAGAAGTGTGAACAGACAAGACTTTTGCAGAGAAACGTTCTTTTGTTTTCTTTCACAAGTTTGTACCAAAATTCTTACTTTTGTACAATGCAATACGACAAGGGTTCTCTGAAAGCATCGTCAGATGGCATCATTTCGAATGAAATTTCCCAATATTGATTTCATCTAAAAGCAAAGTCCAACTGACAAAAATTATTAAGAGCCTCGAAAAATGTGCTACCTTGGATTTTATGCAATTCTTTCATGATCATTTAAAGAGGCTTTTGATCAACTCGGCAAAGACTCAGAAAATATGTGTCCTCACATCAAGGCATAATCCTCAACTCTATCTGACAAACTGGATACAAAGAATAATACAAAATTGTAGCAGACTAAATAATGCATTAATCTGAAAATTGGAACACTGTGGCAAATATAAACAAATAATAATATTTATTTATATTTTTAACCCTAGAACACTAACCATGGGTGTAATATACCCAGTGCAAATTTTCCTATTTTTAATTACAATTTTCAGTACCTGATTTTCTTACCTAAATAATATGTTTTCAGTTCCTATTAATGTTAACTCAATGTACAAAGTTTGAAGTGCCTGCATGTAAAATATTTCAAATAAAGGTTTATATTTAATATTTTTTTTTGATATTTTCAAAATCGAGTATGATATACCCATGGTTAGTAGTGGTGTAACTTTAATTGATGGTTAGTGTTCTAGGGTTAACATCATGTTTCAACAAAATCGGTCTCGAATTTAATGGAGGACCAGACAGCCATAGAGCATTCAAAATTTTAACCATCATATTTTCTTGTGCATAATATAAGAAATTTTTAAGAAAAAATAAACGAAAAAGCGTCTGACAAAGTGAATATGAACAATTTCCCTTATTCTTGTCTAAGGGAGACTATTTACCATCTGCACTTTGTACATAGTTAAATGAAACTACCATTATATAAATTGTTGTAGTTTATCATAGTGGTTGATACTCAAGTAAACAATCACATAAACTAAATATAAAGAACTTTCATGCTCTTGTCTAAGGGAGATTATTTATAGCCTTTGCTCTTCAGATATTGAAATTAGATTACAACAACACTCATAATTTCACATGTAATAATAAACATATATTTTAATATTATTGTACTAACTTTATTCTTGGTGCTGCCTTAATTAAGACATTGAATACAGAAAATTCAAACAAGAAATATATTTAATATAATTCTTTTGATTGCTATCAAAACATTTGTCAACAATTTTTGTACAATTTTTTTTTTACTGCTGTCTTCTCTCTCCAGTAAAACTTGTTTATTTATGGACTTACAAGTTACCATTTCTTTTCCTCTCTTTAAAGTTTTGCCATTCAACATCAAAATTTATATTGTTACTGCTTACCAATATGGTAAGAGATTAGAAACTGATTTCTAATTATAGAATTTGCAGCATTGTATCTGACAATTGCAAATGTAGAACAGTACAGAGAAAAACGGATATTTTCAGTAAAGAAGAATTTCTTGAATAAACAATGGAAAACATTTTTAAGGAAGATAAACTCCAAGTTTTGATGTCACATAATATATGGATTTATGAAAGCAGCAGATGACCACAAATAAAACTGTGTTGGCCAACAGAGACAATAATTGTACTGAGTTCACAGGTTGATGCTGTGCTGTTCCAGTAATTCCATTAGTGGTTGTGTTTCCAAACCAGCACAATGATCCAAACTGCAATTGAGAGACCTGTTTCTTCATAGTTCTGAAAGTTTGGAATCTGAATATAAATAATGTATTCAAAATTTTCTCTTTGGATGACCTCAATTTTTCTTGTAACTGAGGTATTTTTCATCACCTTGAAGAAGAAGAAAATTGAAGTCACCCAATCACAAAATGAATCTGTTCATGAAAATTATAAACAAAACAAATGGAATAAGTCAATACGACTTACCAAAATCTCTCGGCCATTGACAACTTTGAAGAGGACATTGAGATGGTCAGTGCCAGCCAGTACATGATTATAAGTTAGTGTAATAGCCATTCCTTCTCCAGGTTCCAGATAACCATGTATTGGTTCAATTATGAACAGTTTGTTTTCAAGTACTTTCATCTACAAAGACAGAAAGATTATATCATTCATTCAAGTACAACAATATCTGATAGAAGAAAATATTGACTGCTTATTTTATGAACTTTTGGAAAAATCTTGGTTCCTTATGACTCGTGTTTCTACAGTATTCTTCAATAGTTACTTAGTCTTTAACTTTCGTTTTATCTCACCAGGTAGAACATCACCAGTAACTGAATCACGGGACTGGGTATTAAGGACTTGTGTTAGTACAGGAACAGTTTAGTAATTCTTTGTCAAATTTTTTAATTTTTTTTTTTTAGAGGCATATCAATTCCTTATAGATCATTTAATTTTCTTGACAGCATTATTTTATTTACAAAAATGTATTACTGGTAAATTTTATTTTATAAAAACATTTCTAGTAATTTTTTTAAAAAATTATTGATGATATTTTCACTATAAAACTGTATTAGCTGGGACCCTAACAGGTTCTATTATCCAAGGTCAGTGTGGACCAAGAAACAACAGCAATGGGAAGAGCTGGTTCCATGCTCCGCAAAACCTCCAATCCCTCAATCAGAGGCCTTGTTGCCAGATGTAGTTTATCATCATACCCAGGACAAGCTTTGTCAAAGAATCTGCTTTTTTTTATCAATATAAAAACTACAAATTGCAGATGTTGAAATCAAGCAAATTTTAAATATGTAGGAAGTGTTCTAACAGATGATGAAAAATATCACACTGAAATCCAAAGGCACATTGGAGTAGTAAATGATGCCTTTTGAATTCTGAGCAAAACATTAACAAACAAGAAAAGTTTGTTAATAACACAGACAAGATTATTAAACTGCTATGTAATATCAGTCCTCTTCTATGGCAGTGAATGTTGGAAATCTCCTCACAGATGAAGAGACTTCAGTCAACAAATATGTGATTCAACAGAAGGATACTGAGAATCTCATGGACTGAACATGTAATGAAGAAGTGTTAAAGAAGATGGAAACAAAAAGGTTGGTCATGCTTAGAATCAGAAAGACAAAATTGAAATTAAGACACATAAAAAGGAAAGAGGGTCTGGAGAATTTGACTCTCACAGGATATATTGAAAAGAGGAGGGGCATGAGAAAGCAGCCAGAAACCTGCCTAACAAGTTTTTATAAATTGTTTGAGAGTGATAACAAAGATAAACCTTACTAAGAGCTTCAAAGGATAGGAAATTGTGGAGAGTCATGATCACCTACATCCTGAAGGGACATGGCACATAGAAGAAAAATATTATGTTATTAAACATGTAAAATGTAGATATTCTTATTTTGTGTACTACTGATGTTGAATTTTTTCTTAATTTGTAATAGTACTCAATTTCAAACTTGACATTTGTAATTAAAAATAAAGTACAGATAACTCTTTAAAAGGCCAGGGATCAATTTGACATTGTGTTAATATTATGAACAGGAACCTACTTCTAAAATCATTATTTTTCTATTCCAACAAATATTGTGACTTTAGAAAAGTCTTATGAATGCTAATCTGTAAAAATTATTAAAAAGAAAATAAATAAATAAGTAAAAAAAAAAACAAAAAAAAAAACATCCCTATTTTTTTTTTTTAAAAGTGGACCGGTCTATTTAAGTAGAGTCCATAATTTCTTCTGTCTTAAGAGATGCCATAAAGGAGAACTACTCAGCATGGCACCCCAGTGATCTAACAGGTCATGTGAAATGTCTATTATATATGTCCTGTGCTCAAGTGGCTTTGACTGGAGAATGAATATATCAAGAAAGCTGTAAAAGAGAAAAGAAAGTGGAGTGTGTATTTTACATAGATCAGATATATGGAGTCCACTTCCACCATGTTTGAAGTGACTAATACTTTAGTGCAGTCAGTCAGGATGTTACAGTTCACACCCTGCTTGAATGATATAAAAAAAAGCCATGTTCACTGTTTGAATTCTTTTGCTCTATCTTACATCTAAAAGAAGGCATGAGTTCAGAACTTAACAGTCATGGCCACTGCCTAACCCAAATATATCGTACTGGTGCATGACCAATAAAACTTGTATTGTTACTGGAGCTTAAAAGCTAATCTAATCATGTCGAGCTTTACATATGCTTTATATTTTAACAAAGAATATTGCATAATGTTTACGCTAGATATAGTAAAATAATAATTATAATGGAAATCCAAGAAAGAATTTTCATTTTTGTTTTTCCTAAACAACAAAAAAATCTTAGCATGAGTACAAAGAATGTATAAGCCAGATAGTGGATTTGAGACCATACCATGGTCTGAAATGACTCTAATAGAATGAGGATGGTTTGAATCTTGACAATGATGGATTGACTTTGTCTGAACATTGATATAAGGCTGAAAAACATGCAAAACAAAAAAAGTAGCAGATTTTTAGTAGTTGTAGTAGTAAAATTAAGGACCCTGATATGCATCTAAGCCTTTTTCTATTCGATTACTTTGTGGGCCCTTCCAACAGCAGAAGCACAAAAATTAAAATTAAGTAGCACATCTAACTGTAATAAGATGATATAATCAAGCTGTTAACTTTCCATACTACTAAAAAAACAAAATAATTGGAAAAAAAACTTCCATCAATACTATAAACAGAAAACATGAGAAATTTAATTTCTTGAAAAATTATTTTAATAAAAAGATTTTATAGATTTTATCTGACAGTAAGGTTTACTTTTCAGTCAATGAATAGCCATTGTTTCCTATATGGGAATAGCTATTCTCACTATTATTATCAACAGAAACGTAAAATCTTTTCAGTTTAGTGAAGTTAATGTGCAAACAAAGCTTTTCCTTTAATTCATTCACAGATAATTATCTGTAAATTTAATCTCTCTTTTGTACATAGAAAGAAGAAGTACAAAGTTGATGGTTTTTGCCTACCCAGGAGGTAAGCAGCAATACTTATAGATGGTAAATCAATTTACAACATAAAATCTATCTAATAAACTACTTTTGATTGCAATCACTTGAAAGTGTGGAGAACAGCAAAGATTTGGTTTAAGGACTTAAATTACTACAAGGTTACACACATGGGATTCTGTGAGGTTTTGAACTTACTATAGTATGTCTTTTGCAAAGCAAAAAAAAAACAAAACAAAACAAAAATATTTAGTAATATAAATACAATGAATCCTTTTGTCATTTAGAACAACTTTCAACAGAAGAATTCTGTTTTTTAAATCTTGAAGAATTTTGGATTGAGTCTCTCCCTTACCATAACCAGTTCGTCAATAGTAAAAAGAAAAAAAAATATAAACAAAATGAACCAACCCACTATTCATTTTGATCTTAGTCAAAACATTATGATGAAAAAGAAGAAAGTTCTGCAAGACATACTTGCTAGCCATTGCTCTCTTTGATTCTTTGACATCTCTAAAGTTCACTTTCAAGTGCCAAGAAAGTAAGAAATGTGTGGTAGTATTGAAGAAAGAAATCCCGAGTACTAACATATTCCTCACTTTCCAGGCTTGACCAAATTCAAAAACATTTATGTGGCCTTGTGGCATGTTGGAGTTGGGTGGGGGGATTTATTGTCTACTTTAGAGCCCCTTTCCCACAGATGCAATGTTACAAGCTTATCACTGCTCAATCACTACTTCTATAACAAATGTTCTGACAAGCTCCATTTTTTAGTGCCACCAGCTGGAACCTTTACAGCTAAGATGGATCTTGTTATGTCCACAGTGTTGAATCAACCTCATTCCCCATATTCTCTTGGTGAGAAGAGTTTTCCACTTTGAAATCTTCTTCTAAAATATTGCTACTTTATGGCACAGACTCCCACGTGGATACTTCCCAGAACACTGCACTATTAGCTTCTTCAAGTTAATCATTGTCTATCTGCCATATCTTTGCAATATTTGTTTTCTACTTCCTCCTCTAAAATTCATTTCACAACTTCATTTGGTAACCCTCTACTTGAAATGGCAACTGGACTTTGCATTGAATGAACCGGAATAAAACAAAGTCTATATTCAATTCTCAGGCCCACTTGGTGCTCTTGCTCTGAGAAGAGTTTTCAAATATGAAACATTTTGCATCAGGAGATACCATACAAGTACTAACTTTTTTCCAAACTTAATGACTTAATCTTACTTAGACGAACATTGATATTTGTAACAACTCAGCAATTGCAGGTGAGACCTTCAACTTCTAGACAGTTTTTATATACACATGCACTCAGAAAGTAAAAGTAAAGATATTTGATTTTCTCCAACAGGTAATCAAAAACCACTCTTCCATATGACAGTTGTAGATACTTCATGTTCTGTTAACAGAAAACTTAAAAGCAATGTTTAGGCACCAACTATAAAAGCAAGATTTTAAAAGCTCATCACTCAAAAAGTAGACAATTGTTTTATAACTTTAAATAATACAAATAATAGAAAATTTAAATCAAAATGATTGAAAAGGATTTTAGTTAATTTAAAGGCAACCAAACCTCTGCATACCATTTTTTAAGCTAAGCCTGAGATGGAATGCATGTGAAATTATTAGTAGTTTTGTGGTTTATACCAGACTACTTTTGATAAAAGAGTGAAGAGAAAATATTTAATAGAGTTTCATTGTTAGTCTGGTAGTGTCGTTCAAGTAAACCATCCCTCATCATTTCAAATAAAAGGGAAAATGATGTCTTGCTTTTGTATTTGTTTCTGAAAAATGGGGAATTTAAATCCACAAAAAGAAATCAATATTAATATTTTCAATTTCTTAATTAGATATCTACTTGTAAAATCATCACAACAAAAAAGGAAAAACCTGTAAATTGTTTTACTGATGCAGATCAACTGACAAGAATAGATTTTATGTAAAAACAGAATCAAAAGTAACACTGAAAAACCATGACATATCAATGAAAAATTGTGAAATTCACTCTCCACAAATTTTTACTTAGCTTATAAATAGGTTAACTACCAATAGTTTGCTTTTTACATTAAATTCAAAATAGTACATGGATTTTGGAGAATTAAACCAAAATCATTATCTCAATGTATTAATGCAGTTTATAAAAG